CAGGGGGAGGATGGGAAGGGATGGGAAGGGGAAACAAAGGAGGAGGCTACAATGCTTGATAAGAAATGTACTCATTATCTTGCCCATGTAAATGTAACCCCTCTGTACAGTATTTTCACAATAAAAAAAAATAAAAAAGAAAGACTGCCATAATGAAAACTATAAAACCTTGAAGAAAAAGTATGAAGAATACACCAGAAGATGGAAATTTTTCACATGCTCATAGATCAGCACAATGAATATTGTGAAATGGCAAGACTACTGAAAGCAATGTGGTACTCATCAAAATTCCAATGTCACTCCTCACAGAAACAGGAAATGGAATCCTAACATTCATATGGGAGTATTAGAGACCCCACATAGCGAAAGGAAAGTAACCCTGAGCAGAAAGCGTAATGCAGGGCCTGAAATTATACTACAGAGCTGCAGGACACAAAATCAGCATGGTAGTGGCATAAAAACAGATACAAAACCAATGTAACAGAATAGAAGGTCCAGAAATAATGCAATATAGATACAACCATCTGATTTTTGACCAAAAAAAAAGCCAAAAATATACACTGGAGAAAAAAGACTCTTCACCAAATGATGCTCAGAAAACTAACTATATACATATAGAAAACTGAAACTAACCTCCCATCTCCTACTCTGTACAAAAATCAAATCCAAATGCATCAAAGATCCAGTTTAAAACTCTGAAACTGCTATAAGAAAACAGGAAAACTCTAGAAAATATATGTGTAGGTGATTATTTTCTGAATAGGTCTCTAATTGCCAAGAAAATAAGAAAAAAAATTACATATGGGACTTCATTAAAAAGTTCCTGCACAGAAAACAAATCAGCATAATAAGATATGTAAAAATGGGAGATTATCTCTCCCAGCTATTGAATGGATTAATATGAAGAATATACAAAGTACTCAAAAAATGAAATAGTTAGAAAACAGATTATCCAGATAATAAATGGGCAAATGAATGGAACAGTTCTCAGAAGAAATATAAATGGCTAATAAACATGAAAAAGCTCAACATCCTTAGCCATAAAGGAAATGCAAATCAAAACTACTCAGATTCCATCTCACCAGTCAGAATGGCCATCATCTAGGAGACAATAAAAATCCTAATGCTGATGTGAGAAAAAGGAGACCTTAAACACTATTGGTGGGAATATAAACTAGCATCACTACTACCGATGAGTATGGAGATTTCTCCCAAAACTAAGAACAGATCTACTGCATGACCTTGTCATATTACTCTTGGCATATATCAGTAGTGCAAATCAAATACAAGAGATATAAATGCATACCCATGTTTATTGCAGTTCTATACATTCCAAAGTCAAACTTTGGAATCAACACCCAATGAATAAGAAAAATATGGTTCATATGTATACCATGAAATATTACTCAAACATAAAGAGCAATGAAATTAAGTCATTTGCAGGAAAGTGGATGGAAATATAGATCATCATGTTGAGTGAGGTAAGTCAACCTCAGAAGGGAAGATCTATCACATTTTCACTCATTTGTGGAATGTAGATAAAAATATACACACAAAATATATTCACACACATACTCACATACATACACATATATACAGATATATATATACATATATGCATGCATGTATATATCCATATACATTGTATATATATACAGATATACATATATACATTCATGTATATATATCCATATATATTGTTGCATTTATAGATAAATGTATAGTGTTAAAGAAATAAGTACACTGTGACACAAAAGTGCACCATTTCTGGCTATAGAAAACATGAAGGACATAATAGGAACTTGGTAGAAAATTACATGCACCAGAATCCCAGATCATCCTTAAGGCAGTCCAGTGACCTTTAAAAAGATTAGAGGCAGAAGGAGGGAGAATGACAGTAACAATTACTGTCCTTTTTTCAAAATAGTGATTCTGCACTTCTGTCTTTGGTTCTATCAGTTCTCCAAAATATGTTAAACTAACAGGTTTGTAAGGAGTTGATACAGAGCTCTTTGTTGCACCAAGTAATAACTCCCCTGTTTTCTTCCAAATCTGAAGTGCAGAATGATATCAGAAATTTAAACATCAAAGAAGCTGAACTTAGCTACATTGCAGGTAAGGAATTCTAACTAATGGTTAGACGTGGCAAAGAAATATTCAGCACAGAAGTGTATCTTTTCCTTTGCCTACAAAAAAAAATCTGAAAATTTCAGTATGAAAATCATACCAAAATTTCAGTATGATTTTCTTCTACCCTCAAAGAATTGCTTTCTTCTTCAAATACAATTTTCTAGTAAATGTTTGTACTGAATTATTCCCATCATTTTTTCTAGACCTTCAAAAGACTCTTTAAATGGAGAAATCATCTTAATAATGGTTATTAGTCATTCCTGTTGTCAAATTGTGTAAAGTGTAGCCTTTTAGGTGACAAAATGTGTGAGCTTATAGTAGTCAAGAAAATTTCTATATAAGAAAATTCACTTACTTTCCTATTTTCTGTGCACAATTGACAAGTCTTCTTTTGAGCACATACTACAAGAAACAAATTAAGTACAAATATGAAAATCTAAAGCCTATTTATTGCCCAATGTTCTTAAAACGTGCATTTCATTTCGTTAATCCTGTTTCAGGCTATATCCATTCATTGTCAAGAATTTTATTTCATTATTTTCTTATCTCTAGAAACTTTGCCAAAGGCATAGCCCAATCCTTATTTCTTCTTGTTACTGAGAAAATTATGAAATGGCATTGTTCATTGTAGATTAGAAAAGTTTTACAAAATAATTTCCTAAAAAATGAATTGGCAATTTTACAATAATCTTTAAAACATCATGGGGGAATCATGGTAGAGACTTTCTTCCTCTGACTCCATGAATGAGCAGTCTGAGAACAAAGAAGAGACTATTTGAAAAAAGAAAAAAACAAACTGAAGAAGAGCACCAAGAACAATGAACAGGACAACTGGAAAGTGTGGAAAAACAGAAGGACAATGGAGAAGTCTAGCAATCAGCTTGTAGCTTCATTCCTTCCTTCCCTCTTGGGGAGAAGAGAAGATAAAGACCCCTAAACAAGGCAAATCACATGATCTCTGTATCAGAACAGAAGACCTACATGATCCTGCAAGCATCAAACCTAAGTGTGGGGACTTGGACATTTGGTGGACTAGTAACTTCCTCTATCAGGAAGAGCAACAGGGAGGCACAGACACCATCTGGTGTGAGGGCCTCCTGGTTAAGATAGTATCCAGGGTATGGGATTTAATTATCAGCCACTTTTAGCAGCAGGTTTTAAGAGACATACAGGGGGCCTGGTCCAGAGAAACAATCCATGATTGATGTGATTGCAGTGCACCAGGTAGGTAGAAGCCATAGAAGTTTACATAGAGAGGGAGAAATGACCTTCTGTTCAAGTAGAACAATTTCATTGGCAACCTTAGCTTTATAGGGTATTTCTAAGTAATTCAAATTCTACCTCTGCCTATACAGCTCCAATTTAGGATATTAAAAGTCTCATTTCCAGGCTCATAAATTCAATGTGTCATAACTTTCATATTTCAAAATTTCTTCAGATGAAAGGAAAAGCTACAAACAGAACTAATCAGTTCTTGAAGAAAAAACTACAATTAAGCAGTTTATTAGCTAACATCATAAAACACTAGGAATAATAGCTCTGGTTATTAAGTTGACTCTTATTAGAATATAACCCAGCAGCTCACTCATATCACAAAGCTTATATGCTATATGGCTCATGCAGAAGGTGAGAGTTGCTTCTCTTTTTTCTTTTCTTATCTTTGAGTCAAGTTCTTTCTAAACAGCCTGGGCTGACCCTCAACTTGTAATTCTGCTTTCCAGGTTCTCAAATGCAGAACATCTGGCTATTTTTCATTAATTTTGTGTTTATGTGTCCTGATTGGCCGGGGGTTGGGGGTGATGAACACAGGGCCTGGGTGTTTCCCTGAGCTGCTTTTCCTCAAGGCTAGTGCTCTACCATTTGAGCCACAGCTCTACTTGCAGCTTTTTGCTAGCTAACTGGAGATAAGAACTTCATGGACTTTTGCCCAGGCTGACTTCTAACAGCAATCTTCAGATCTCAGCCTCCTGAGATTATAGTAATGAGCCACTAGTGCCCAGAATGCTGCTCATAAATTTAAATGTACTTTACTCCATTTTTTATGGTTTAGATAAAGCAAATTAATTTGAACCTCATTCAAGCAGATTTCCTGGAAACTGTCCAGAGTCTTTAAAAATGTCTTTCCAACAGCAAATAGCAACTTTACTTGTGGGGAGAAGGGTACTAGGGATTAAACTCATGGCCCTGAAAGCACTCCACCACTGCAGCCATACCTCAGCCCTTTTGTTTTTTGTTTTTTTAGATAGTAAGGTACTCTAGCTTTTACCTAGGCTGCCTTCTGACCATGATTTTCTTACCTCTCTTTTAAGTAGATGGGAATACAGGCTTGTGCCACTGCTTCTAGCCCAAACGATAATTTTTAAGATGGAAATTTCAAGTGATCCGGATGTCACAACCCCTGGAAAGATGAATGGTGGTGTTTATGCACCACTAACCTAAGAACTATGGATAACTTACCTTCTTCAAGGGACATATTTGTGTCTTGATTGCTCCTGCTGCTATAGATTTGGAAAGATCTATTATCTGAAAAGCTGATAAGCAGTTGGATGAGAACTAGGGAAAGGAAGACTGGCAGGAAGACCTGGCTCCATACCCTCAACCAGCACATTGCTCCTCCCTCCTAGCAGCCAGGTCAATAGGAATTAGGGGGATATTGAGCACTGAGTTGGTAAAGTGGACCTGCTTAGAGACTGTGACCCATGACAGCCCAGGTCTTGAGGTTCCCTCTTCCAAGAGCTGGATTCCACACAATTAGCAGAATTTTAGAACTGTCAGTATTCTGGCCAGAATGCAGAATGTTGGGAATGCAATCCTAGCTTTTTAAAAAAAAATTTATTGTGAAAATACTGTACAGAAGGGTTACAATTACATGGGCAAGATCATGAGTACATTTCTTATCGAGCATTGTAGCCTCCTCGTTTGTTTCCCCTTCCCATCCCACCCTCCCCCCATTCTCCCACCTAACCCTTCCCACCCCCCTACCAAAGTTGTAGTTTGCAATCCTAGCTTTTTGCTGGACTGGAGGACTCTGGGTCCTGAACACCATATATATGTTCATTCACAGGATTTGATTCAGTATCTTTCCCTTTAAAGCTAACTTATTTTCCTTGCTATTACGCAGTTTGCTAACAAAGGCTAAGATTTCATATCCCACTACTCCACAACATCTCAACTAGTTACTCCTTTCTGGTGGCCTTTCTTCACAGGGAAACAAGGAAATGAAACCATGCCATGTCATGAAAGTAAGTAGCCATGTCATGAAACTCCAAGCTCAGAAAATGCTTGATTTTTGTCCTTGACTAGTCTGATGACCCTCTCAGTGTACTATAATACAGTTTCCCCTTACAAAGTATATTTTAGGTGGTATAAAGATGACTATCTTCTATTCCTATCTTCTATTCTTATAGCTATGGATTTATTTTAATATGTATTAGAAAAATATAAGTATATATGTATTAGAAAAATATAAGTACAACAATATAATAGAGACTATGAACTTTCTTTTTAAAAAAATATGTTAGCCAGGCGCTGGTGGCTCATGCCTGTAATCCTAGCTACTAAGGAGGCTGAGATCTGAAGATCATGGTTCAAAGCTAGCCAGGACAGGAAAGTTCTTGAGACTCTTATCTGCACTAAACCACCAGAAAACCGGAAGTGGCACTATGACTCAAGTAGAAGAGCACTAGCCTTGAGATGAAGAGCTAAGGGACAGTGCCCAGACCCAGAGTTCAAGCTCCATGATCCCTCCCCCCCCAAAAAAATATGTTAAAATAAATAGAAAGTCCATGGAATGGGATATGATTTTTTTTACCAGCTATGCATTAGATAACCTCATACCTAAAATATACTTAGAACTCAAAAATTAAATCCCCCAAAAATAAACTCAAAGAAACAATTCAATTAATAAATGGGCTAAAGACTTAAAGAACAACTTCTCAGAAGGAGAAGTAAGATTGGCCAATTGACACATATCTGGCTATAAAAGAAATGCAAATCAAAACAACATTGAGATTCTACCTCACCCCAATCAGAATGGCCATTATCAAGAAAACATGCTGGCAGGGACACAAATATCTTTTTTCTTTCTTGCTATTGTTTCTAACATATTTATAATGTGCCATGTGTGTTTTTTTTGTTGCTTTGTATGTTCCTCCCCCATGATATAACCCCTATTTTCACTGTATTTGATGTCGGTGTCCTGCATCTTGTATATACACTTCTCTAATTTAGGGAGAGGAAGGAGAAAAAATGCTTAAATAAGGATACAGGTTGACCCATTATAACAATGAGATGTACAAAACACTATGTTGAAAACGAACTTTACAACTTTGGGGGGTGGGTAGAGTAGTTGTGGAGGTGGGGAGAGGGATGATAGGGGGAAAACAAAGGAGGAGGCAACAATGCTCAATAGGAAATGTACTCATTACCTTGCTCTTGTAACTGTAAGCCCTCTGTACAGCATTTTTACAATTGAAAGCATACAAAAAATGCTGGCAGGGAATAAAGTTGCAGAGCTTCTGCAGGGCAAATGACATAGCTAGCAAGATCAATAGAAAGCCCACGGATTGGAAGATCTTTACTAGCCATACAACGGACAAGGGTCTCATATCTAAAATATACTTGGAACTCAAAAAATTAAACCCCCCAACAACAAATCCTCAAAGAAACAACTGCCCAATAAATAAGTGGGCGAAAGACTTAAAGAGAAACTTCTCTGAAGAAGAAAGAAGGATGGCCAATAGACACATGAAGAAATGTTCAACATCCCTAGCCATAAAAGAAATGCAAATCAAAACAACATTGAGATATCACCTCACCCCAGTTAGAATGGCAAAAATCAAGAACTCTAACAACAACAGATGCTGGAGGGGATGTGGACAGAAGGGAACCTTACTTCATTGTTGGTGGGAATGTAAACTTGTTCAACCACTTTGGAAAGCAGTATGGAGGTTCCTCAAAAGACTTCACATAGAACTCCCCTATGACCCAGCAATCCCACTTTTGGGCATTTACCCAAATGTTACAAACAAGACCACACTAAAGCTACCAGCACAACTATGTTTATTGCAGCATTATTTACCATAGCTAAGATCTGGAACCAACCCAGATGCCCCTCAGTAGATGAATGGATCAAGAAAATGTGGTATATATACACAATGGAATTCTATGCCTCCATCAGAAAGAATGACATTGCCCCATTTGTTAGGAAATGGAAAAACTTGGAAAAAATTATATTAAGTGAAGTAAACCAGGCCCAAAGAAACATAGGTCCCATGGTTTCCCTTATTTGCAATATCTAATATATGTATGAGTCAAGCGGAAAAGGTCAGATAATGTGATGTCAGGAAAATGAACCCTTAGATATGTATTTTAATGTTTTTTTCTTTCATGCATGTGTTTCTAATGCATTTATAAGGTCAGATAATGTGATGTCAGGAAAATGAACCCTTAGATATGTATTTTAATGTTTTTTTTCTTTCATGCATGTGTTTCTAACACATTTATAAGATTATCTCTTTGTTGCTTTGTATGTCCCTCCCCCACAGTATAACCCCTGCTTTCACTATATTTGATGTCAGTATAACTTGTGGAGGAGATGGGGAAAAACCAGTTGTTTAAGGATACAGGTGGACTTGTTGCAACAATGAGAAGTACAAGTTGTCATGTCCAAAACGAGCTTTACAATGTCGGTGCGGGGGGGGGGAGGAAGGGGGGGGAAGGAGAAGGATTGGGATTGGGGGGGAGGGGGGGAGGCTGGGAAGTGATGTGAAGGGTAAACAAAGGAGGAGGATGCAATGCTTGGTAAGAAATGTACACATTATCCTGCCCATGCAATTGTAACTCCTCTGTACAGTATGTTCACAAATAAAATAAAATAAAATTAAAAAAAAATGCTGGCAGGGATGTGAACTCTACCACACTGTTGTTGGGAATGAATGTAAACTTGTTCAACCACTATGGAAAGCAGTATGGAGGTTCCTCAAAAGACTTGGTATATAGCTTCCCTATGGCCCAGCAATGCCACTCTTAGACATTTAGACCAGGCCACAACAAAGCTACCAGCACAACCATGTTCCTTGCAACATTACCATGGCCAAGATAGGGAATCAACACAGATGCCCCTTCAGTGGACACAATGGAATTCTATACATCCATCAGAAAGAATGATATTGTACCATTCATAAGGAAATGGGAGGAATTGGGAAAATAAGTGAAGAAAACCAGACCCAAAGAAACATAGGTTGCATGGTTTCCCCTCATTTGTGGTAACTGGAATGTGCCTATAAATCTACAAATAAAGATACTGGATGATTAAAAAAAATTCCCTGGGACATGATAAATTATACAGGCATTCACACAGAGTGAGACCAAAGGAGGCTATTCTTAGGAGAAGATCACATAGGCATAACAGCTATGTGCATCTGGCCATATAAAATATTTTTCAAAATGAACTCCAGGAAGTGGAAATAAGAGGTTATTTTTTTTCTTTTTGCTGTTTTTGTTTTCATTTTGTCTGGTGTGTTCATTTATCTGTCTTTGGGAGAGAAAGGCAGGGCACAGAAAGGGTGGCACCAAAGGTGAACAAATGTAGCAATGATACTCACTAGACCCTATATTTAAAATGAACTATACAACTTGTGGGTGCGGTGAAAGAGAAAAACTGGGAGAGAGTGAATGAAGGGGTGACATTGTTCAAAAAGAAATGTACTCTTCATCTGACTAATGTAACTGTAACCCGTCTGTACATTCCCTTTATAATAACTATATTTTTAAAATCTGTTAAAAGGTTGCCTTTCAGAAATAGTAGTATGCAACTTAAAGGATAAAGCAAGAAATGGGAAGATGTGACAGAATGACTGAAATTCAAGCAAAATGAGTGTAAAAATGAGACAGCAGAGAGGAAAGTGATGGAAACATGTCCTAGCGACTCAGAGTATATATTGCTCCATTTTTTCAAAAATAAGTAATGCATTTGTCTCAGACATTTCTGGTATTTGATCTAGACTGTGCTTTGAGGATAATAGATCTAGTACTGGCAATAAACATGGGGAAAGAGAAATGTGCACAGAGATTGCGTTTTCCTTGCCTATTTGCAATGCAGAAAGCAGAAAGAAGACTATCAGTTGTATGAAATGTGTTCTTATTAACTATTAAGAAAAGGACAAAAAGAAAATAGCAACATGGATAGGGGATTTAAAGAATCTATCTACAAAAAATCAAATTCAAGTCCAGAATAAATACCATGGAAAATATTCAAACACTAGAACTAGAAAATTAATAAATGCAATTATGAGCTATCAATTTGTATCTGGCAGGTAGGCAAGCAATTAAAAAGAAAGCTAATATACATCACTGACAAAGATGTGAAGGGAAAGCTACCATGATGCCTTTTGTGGCTGTGCATTGTTTCAGTGTTTTTGAGGAGCAAAGTTACTAAAATTAAAGATCCTTTATCTAGGGAATATACGTACTTGGGGACTGTGTCTCAATGCTCTTCAGTTCTTACAGTTTAGATGAAGCATAAAAACATAGAACTAAGCAACCCAGAGCATGTTATTTTCCTGGCATCATGAATGGCTAGGTGGTCGCACCTAACCTAAGTGTGCC